CCCCTACTGACACCCACTCTCCCACTCCACCTCCGGGCCCCCAGGGGATGAGATCATCACTTTGAAAGTTGGTTGGTCAGCCAGAAATGCCAACAGTTGGGGAAACACAAACTGTGACCAGGAATTTCTCCGGGACAAAGGAAAAAATATACTGTGGCTTAGGTTCGGAAAACTGCAGCGTTGGCAAGAAAACAACACAACCGTGTCAATAATCAGCTACATGTGGTAGCGGTGCCCTCAGGTGCTGTGTGCAAAAGGTCCGGGGATCTTTAAGTTCAGAGTTTTGCCAAACTGGAATGTGAACCCCTTGATTTGACTTAACCTCAAAGCCCACAGTAAAAGCTGCAGCAGGTTAGAGGAGTAAAAGGTTTGGTTTAAATACTTCACAGATAAGAAGCTAATGGTAAACATGAGCACAAAGGAAGTATCTTGTTGCTTTAGTCATTCAGCTGACCAGGCTTTCACTGAGACTGACTAGCATGCAGTCTTGTTCCAGTTTGTCAGCAGTTTGCATTAAATGAACCATCCCTCCAAATGGACCTTCTGTACTTACTATGCCTTTCTTTCCCTTTTTGGTGGAATGTACCTTTTGTTGCCCTGAATAGTTAAGAGTGGATTAGCGATTTGTCAATTTCCTGTTACCTTTCAGAGCTGCAATCCGAGCCCCATTTGCTCCTGGCTCCTGGATGATAGCAAACAATAGGAGGCCTTTTTTCAGGTTTCACTATAGTTCCCCTGTACGGATAAGGGGGGGTAGAAGAGATCTAAACTGTATTCAGAAGGCGGTGAACAGGAAGACAGTGTTTACTTGATATTTTCCAGCCTAAGCCAAATAAGGAAACAGATCCTACTCCCACCATTTCCAGAACTTGGCTCAGCAAAGTCCTTAACATGTCTCTTAAATCTCTGATCTAATCGGCGGAGGTGTCTAAAATAACATTTTAAGGCCTGTGAATAGTTTCTTTCACTTTTCAGTCACCCTGCCACGTGAACTGCTCTGTGACTGCGTCATATGTTACTCATCACCACTGGACTACCACTCCACTGTGAAAAAAGTGAAATCTGAGTCAGTATTAATTCAACAGTATAAATGGTCACAACCTGCCCCTCCTCCTCCTCTTTGCACTTGTTTCGGGGTAAATTTAGCTGCTCCACACACCCACGTAATGCTATTTGGAGTTGTCAGGCTTGGCGGGTCCCTTTGCTGCAGCTTTGGGTTTTTTTGGGGCCGTACAAGTGCAAACACGCATGACTACCAAGTGAGTCACGGTGGAACCTCCAACCCACACATCCTACCGGGGCAGTCCTTTTCTTAGCCAGGGCACCGCTGCCGGCACAGCCGCGATGGAGCAGGATACTCTATAAACAGTCATCCTCCTCCACAGCATTCATCACCAAAAGGCCTGCTTCAGCTTTCCTCCGCCTCCTCATCTGGTTTTCATTATTTCCCCTCATGGCATATAAATAGAAATTAGCAATCAGGGGAAACGGTGGGGGTGGTGGATTTTGGAGAGGAAGGCGGCGTTTTTGGACTTCAGCGCGATGACCAAAGTTTATGGAAGTTATCTCCTCAGATATTCGGTTTTGGATGATCTTGGTGTGCTGGAGCGACATGTGAGAGTTGATGTGTTTAGAAACGGCGCCAACATCCACACTCGGCCTCCGCAGGATTAAAATGACATTAAAAAAATACTAGATAGCCATAAAACATTTGAGCACAGGTCCTGATAAAGTCACTGCTATAATTCACTATGTCCAAAATACCAAAAAAATACAGTGTACTGCTGTTGTCGGGTGAAAACCTTGTATATCCAAAATGTAAACATCTTCGTAAATAAGAAAAGCAGCCTTGTGTTTGCCTCGACCACCGTGCGCTTCAGAGTTTATATAACAGGTTCTGAAAGGGTTTGGTTTGGACAATTTTTTCTACCCGCAGAGGAACATGTAATCCTTCAATTTAACTTAAAATATGAAAATCCCCCAAACTTGGAGATTTTTTTTCACCTTACAGAGATGATTTCTTTCTGGCTTGACAACAGAAAAAGGCCAACAGATTTCGTGGCTCTCAGAGAGGTCCAAGTAGCAACGACTGAAGAACACAAACATGATTGTAACTGCAGTTCCTCTGCTTGACTTCTACAAAACTGGTTTGTGCAGAAGATCTTCCTCAAAAATAGAGATTAACTTGACTGAAGCAGTTCCGTAACGGGGCAAACTCTCTCTCTTCTTATTTAAGGGTTAGTTAGAAAAAACATCTAGTGTCATCTAGCATGTAGATACTATTGGTTTTATTTGCCAATGTGCCTCTAACCCAGTAGTTCCTGTGGAACTACTTTCCAGAAGAAATAGTCCCCATGAAACAACATTTAGGTGCTACTGGTTGCTTCCTGTTTGTGGACAGTCTGTTAGCGGCCTCTTTCCTCCTGAGGAGCCATAAAGAGCCTGTAGGGGCGACCCAGTGTTTTATCAGGTGTCGAGGGCTATTCAAGATGGAGGTGTTTCATTGGGGCTTGAGCCTCTTGAGCATTTGCTCCTGGGTACACACACACACCCACCCACCCACAGGAACTGAAGTGTAAAACTTTCACACCCCCCTCCTAACCTGCTATGTGTCTATGCAGCATTACTAGCTATCTGATACCGCATTCTTCTACAAGCCTCCTTCCTGTCTCTTGTCTTTGTTTGCCATTTTTATGGACAAAGGCTATTTGGAGGGGATGATAATGATGACGATGAGAAGTAGGAGGAGGCCATTGGATCAATACAATACGCGACCCTTGGCAATCATTCAGTTGGCTCCTTTTGTAATTAATGGCCAGGCGTTATTTCGGCTTCAGATGAGATTTGCTCTTGATCAATGGCTTCTGTTTCATCAGCGCGATTGACTCATCAGTATTCAAAGTGTCACTTCCTTCCTGCAAAGTTAGCGCAAAAGCCTTTCTCGGCTCTCACAGGCCCCCATAGGCTGTGATTTCGTATTCTGCCTGCTAATTAAATCAGCAGGGTGTTTGTCTAAGTGTTGCTCACTTTGGAGACTGTTGCTGGAAAGAGCCAGTTGTCAAGAGTCATTAGATTTGATCCCCAAATATGCTCACAATGGTTCAAGAGATAGCAAAAGACTAGTTTATAGTAGAGGATATTTCAAAATGACATCAGAGCCTGCCTTACATAAAAATCACCTCCTCAAATTAAAAATCCTGCCTTCACGCTGAGGAATATTTCTGATACATATTGCAGTGTCTCCAGTTAACCCAGAGCTGCTTTAACTTTTCCCAAACATAGCCTAACCCTGACAAGATCACGTCCTTGTTCCTCTTTTAACGGCCCCAGGGGACAGTTTTGTGTGTTTGCTGCATTCCCGGCCCCCTACAACCACTTTTGTTCTGTTTTTCCCTTTGATATCTCAACCAAGGACAACAAAAAGCACCACATATGCACATTAGATAGATAACAAGAATGATAGATACATGGATTGATAGATGAATTTGTGTGTGTTTGTTTGCAAGGAAGAGGAGAAGGCTTGGTCTTTCTTTATCCACCCTTTCCTCCCCCTTCATTCCCCCTCTTTTTTGAGATTAGACTATGCATCCAGACAGATGGTTCCCGTCTGCTGGCTTTTTTCAATTCACTTCCTCTCCTCACAGACAGCCACCCCTCCCCCCTCCCCCCTACAAGGATTATTTCTAGGGCCCACCCAATAACAGAAGGAGCCGTTGGAGGGGTTTTTGAGGGGGGAGAAGAGAGGAGAAGAGGAAGGGAGAGGAGTGAAGAGC